CCATTGTTCCTTGCCTATATTCTTACAACGACATCCTGTCTTGTCCCTCATCAACCCACTGTGATCAAATTGTTTTTCCTAAATAAAGATCCAATCCCAGCTCCAACCAGACTGCCCCAACTAAAACACTTTAGTGGTTTTCATTTGCCCAGTGAGTAAAATAAAATCCTAGAAATGCCCTGTAAGTTCTAGTTCTTACAGAATCTAGGGGTGTACTACCTCTCTCAAAGCTCTCTTGCTTTCCCTGCCTCCATTCTAAGACATTATAAAATTCCTTCAGTTCCTAAAATGGGCTATGTTCCCTTCTCCTTCAGGATCTATGCATTTATTGACCCTTCTGCCTGGAATATAGCAAAGCAGATGAATTCCTGCTCCTCATTTAGGTCTCAACTAATATGAAATGTCCTTAGGGAAACTTTTAATGACCTCACTATCCCCTATTTTATGTTTCCATACACACTATAATTTGCTTCAAGACATTTTTCAGATTTTATTTATACATTTTTATTTATTTTTGATTACTGTTATAGCCTTCATTAAGCTGTAACTTTAATGAGGGTAGGACCATGTCTATTTTCCTCATCACAGTATCCTCAGCACTTAGCACAGTCCCTAGCTCAATGCAGAAACACATTAAAAATTGTCTGAATAGAGGAATGATGAACATTATCATTTTATTTGTATTATGTATTTGTAAAGTCTATCGGCTGCACTGGACAGAAATTATGTAAAGACAGCAATCTAATTTGTCCAGAACTGTATCCCCAATTTCTAGTACAGTTACTGGCCTATAGAAGCTTTCAAGATATTATATTGAATGATTAAATTGGTTCCTCTCCATGACCTCCTGGCTCAGTAAATGGCACCATAACTTAAATGTTTGCCTCGAAACTGGTTTCTTTCCTTCAGTTTCGTATATTTAATTTATCATAAAAACACATCTATTCTAAGTCCTAAAAACAAAACAAAACAAAACAATACAAAACAAAAAACATTTCCATGAATTTAGTCCAGGCCTCCATCATCTCTCACAGAAATTATTACAACAGTCACCTCTTTGGACTTGTGCCACTCTAATCTCTCCACTACTCATCCTCTGAGGGAACCAGAATGTCCAAAATTGATACCCCCTGTTTAAATTCCTATATTGATATATTAATATATTTGGCATCGTATTATAATGTGTGAGTAATTTTAAGTGACATAAAAAATTATTACATTGTAACATTCAGTATAAAAATCAGGATAAGATCCTAGTTTTGCTAAGTGAAAAAAAATAATGCACAGGGGTATGTACAAGAAGAAAGAGGAAGGAAGTGAAGAGGTAGAGGAAGAGAAGGAGACATAGATGTAGACCAAATAGTAAATGTGAACATGCCTGGATGATGTAATTATATATGATTCTCATTTTCTACTGTATGACACATTTTTCTAGAGTGAGCAAATATTCCTTTTCAATTTTGAAAAGGGAAACAAAAGGTCATTTAAAAGTCTCTGGCTTCCCTAGTTTCTGAAACAGTTCAAATCCCGAAGCATGACCAAAGCTATTAGCAAAGAATTATTTAATAGAAAAACAATAAAGCCTATGGCCAGGCTTAAATGGACAGATTTGCCATGAATATATCATCCATGTTTTATATTCCTTCATGAAAAATGCACGAAGTCAAGTATGTGGATAAAATGCATCAATATTTCACGGTGTTCTGCATAGACAAGGATGTTTATAAAGGGAATCAAGAATCACAATTGCATTGCCTTCTGAACAAGTTGGAAACAACTTCTCTCATACTATAGTCTTTGTGCTGTTACTGAACTCTGGTACTTTCCTATTTCCATGCCTTTGAAAGCACTCTCTCTCCACGCCTTGACTGCAGTCTCTCTCCTTCAAATGCTTCCTTGCTTCTTCCTCTGTACACCCACAGCATGTAAGTATTCTGCTACTACAGAACTTATTACTCAGAGTTATAAATATGCATTAGTCTCCTCCAGTTTTCTGTGACTTCCTTGAGAACAATAACAGTGCTATTTTATCTTGAATACCCATTATTTGGTGAAATGCCTGAATAAGTTCCGTTGGTGCTGAATAACACTGTTGAATAAGTGGATTCAAAAACCTAAGAAAGCATGTGTCTTATAAAAATAAATAATGGATCATACACATATGTGTGTTATATGTATGCACATATATACACTATTTTAAGTGATTTAAAGCAATAAACTATTATAAAATAACTATTATTATAACACTGTCAATCAGTGCTCAAAATTAAGTGGCAACAACTTAAGCTTCTCTTAATAAAATACGGGCCTTGGGGTGCCTGGGTGGCTCAGTCATTAAGCGTCTGCCTTCGGCTCAGGTCATGATCCCAG